TTTCAGGTGGTTTCCGGGCTAAAGGTAAACGTGGCTAAGAGTGTGCTTGTCCCGGTAGGGAATGTTCAGGATATTTCTTCTTTAGCTATAGTCTTTGGGTGCAAGGTGAGTTCTTTTCCTATTCTATATTTGCGTTTGCCCCTAAGGGTCTCTTTCAGGAGAGTGGGGAGTTGGGATCCTGCGATTGATAGGTATGCGAAGAGATTGGCAGGATGGAAGAAGCAATATTTATCTAAGGGGGGTAAAGTTACTCTTATTAAGAGCACTTTATCGAGCCTCCCCACATATTTTCTATTTATGTTCCAAATTCCATTCTCCGTTGCTGATAGGATTGAAAAAATTCAAAGGGATTTCCTTTGGGGCGGAAGGGGAGAAGAGTTTAAGTATCACCTTGTCAGATGGGAGCAAGTTTGCAAGCCCATGAAGTTGGGTGGTCTTGGTATCAGAAGATTGGTTCCTTTTAATCAAGCTCACCTGGGTAAATGGTTGTGGAGATATGGGAGGGAAAGACATCGTCCTTGGCAAAGGTTAGTCTCATGTCGGTTTGTGGAAGTGATTGGCGTTCGGTTTCTCTTGTGGGAGGAGTCGGGGTGTGGAAATCCATTCGGAAGGGATGTGATGTTTTTTCCTCTCATATCAGATTCAATGTTCGCGACGATAGATGCGTTCGTTTTTAGGAAGATCTTTGGTCTGGTGATCAACCATTATCTCGTACATTTCCCAGATTATACTGTATTGCAGCTGACAAACACGCTTACGTAACTGACTGTTATCGGTTTGATAGTAATGGGATTACGTGGGACATGCATTTTCGGCGTTCATTTCAGGATTGGGAGTTGGACGAGGTATGTGTTTTTTTGGATCAACTGTATCAGCAGGAGGGAGTTGGCAGAGGTTGTAACGATCTGACATGGATTCCCTCTTCCCACAGTCGTTTCGAAGTAAGATCTTTGTTCTTATGTCTGTCTAAATTTGATAGCCTTGACTTTCCGTGGAAGACCATTTGGCGTTCTATGGCTCCAACTAGGGTGACATTCTTTGTATGGACCGCCATATGGGGTAAGATACTGACGATTGATAATTTGAGGGAGAGGGAAAATTGTTTTGTTAATTGGTGTTGCTTATGTATGCTAGATGGTGAGTTAGTTGATCATATCCTTATGCATTGCCCTGTGGCGCACGACTGTTGAAATCATATTCTTGGGTTATTTGGCATGCTTTGGGTAATGCCACGTTCTTCTAAGGAATTGATTCATGCTTGGAGAGGATGTCGTGTGAGAAGGGGTGTACGTGATTATTGGAGAATTGTCTCACATTGCTTTTGGTGGTGCATTTGGAATGAGAGAAATAGTAGAATGTTCAAAGGGAAAGAGTCGTCTACGGCGATGCTAAAGCTTTATATTATTCTTCTCTCTTCAATTATGTGAAGAGGAGTTCTTGCTCCTCTTGAGATGATTTAATTAATTTTCTGGATTCTTTGAGGCTTTAGCCCCCGGTTCCACTATTTTATAAGGGACGCGTTCCCCTTTTGAGCACCTTTTTATTTATTTCTTACTTATCAAAAAAAAAAAAAAAAAAAAACTGACACCACATGCAAACATGACTTTGTTTATCAATTTCTTAAGAAAAGATTTTTTTTTCAAACTTATTCCCTCATACCCTGAAGTAAGATCTTGAAGAATTTCCCGTGGTTATGAAGTGAACTAAATCATTATCAATATGATTTGATCACAGTTCATTAGTGTCTAAAAGATTAGAAGCAATCAAGAATATCTGTGTACACTAACGAGCGATCTTTCATAAACTCCAGTACATAAATTTCAATGCACTCTTTTAGATTTTTTTTTTTTGGTCGATTATCTAACCTAGGCAACTATAGAACTAAATGTGAATCCAGCTTTTCATATAAGTTCTATATCAGCAATTCTTTTTGGTCTTTTCCCATGCAAAGGCTATCTTAATTTCATAATGCTATGAACTTTCCCTAGTGAACTTAAATTAAGACCGAATGGTAGTAGTTGGGGTGCTCAAGTGTTAATCAGCAAAAAAGTTTCCATGAGGTAGTCATTATTGAGTTATAAGTGATTAATTTTTGCATCTTTCTGCAGTAAACCTGTCTTATACATGCTTCTTATTTCAAAATTTGGAATCTTCAATTAGCAAGTATTATGAATGTCCATCCTTGAATGATTGTCATCTATAAGAGAACACGAAAACTCAAGTTCTAAAGAATAATCATTACAATCTCCTAAGAAGAACTTTTTACATAATATTCCTACCTAGATCATAAATGAATAGTATGGATTAATCAAAATAACAAATACACTTCCTAAGGAAGGGACTTGAACTTATTTGAATCTAAACGGTTAGTCAAATATTTGTCAATTGATTTTACGTAAACACTTTTTCATACACATGGATTTTTTTAACAACTAAGTCTTTATTGAAATAATGCTAATGTCTATATGTTTGAGTCTTGAACGCATAACTGGAAGGCTACTTATCTAAGGGTTCCATTCACATGGTGAAGAAATACATTTTACTGCCATTAAATGTGACTATTTAGGTTTTACTTGTTATGTAGCACTCATTCTTAATCTGAAAGCGACTCTACTCCCTCCGTCCCAAAATAAGTCTCTCTTTTTGGGAATCTAACTTTTTAAGAGAATGATTTTTATATTTTTTATTGTATTAGTAGTGAATGAATGGCCAAATATACCCCTAGTGGGTCCACAGTGATGTGATGATTTACTTTGATAGGTTTGATGCAAGAAGGTTAAATTGGTAATATTACAAAAAATAGTACAAATGGGATACTTATTTTGGGACAGATAAAAATGAAAAGGTGGACACTTATTTTGGGACGGAGGGAGTATTAATTAAGTAAAGAAGGCTACTTATCTTAGTTCCATACAAAGAAGAAACTACATTTTGTCCTAAGTTAGCGCTAGTTCTCATTGGAGTACTTGTTTACCTAGATATTGTAAACCAAATTTTCTTCGTAACTTCACTGGCATATTTTGTGTGGTACCTTAATGCTCCGTTAGTTGGTTGGATGAAAAAATGGATGGAAGGGAGAGGGGGAGGAATGGATGAGGCATCCCTAGGGAAGGGAAGGTGTTTCCTTACACTTTTTGTTTGGTTGAATGGAAGGGATAGTAGAAATGATAGATGGGGTGATACCTTTTTTCTGTTTGGTTGGAAGGAAGGGGAATAGAGTTTTTATATTTTTTTACCAAATACCCTCATTATCTCTGAGAGAATTTCAATAGGGTTTAAAAAGTTATTTAGTAAATAACTAAAGGTTAAAATTGGTATTGCCTTTTTTGGGCTGGATTTCTTTCCCTCCTCTCGTCTGCCTAATTTTGGATAGATTGTTGCAACAAATACTGCGAACCAAGAACTCAATCATGAACATATTTGTTAAAAAGGCTCAAGGAGCACTAAGGTCCCCTGAAGCCCGAGGCGCAAGGCGAGGTGTGGCGAGGCGCGGACTTGGCTTAAGTGAGGCGCAAGTTGAGGGGGTGGGGGAAAGGAAGTGCAGAACAGATTTAGTATATTTGAAATTTCAAAATATTGGAGGAAATTAACAATTAGTAAAGGTCTTATCTCGGATAGATGATTGAATTTGCATTTGAACTGAATATATTAACATCATAATATATTGTTTAGTTGGACCACGATTAGGCTAGTTGATTGGATTGGTATTCGTTAGCGTAATATATTGGTTAATTCGTCCGCAATTAGGGTAGTTGATTGGTTGAAGAAATGGTATTCATTAATGTAATATACTATTTAGTTGGACCACAGTTAGGCTAGTTGATTGGTTGAAGGAATGGTATTCATTGACATAATATATTGCTTAGTTGGACCAAATTTAGGATAGTTGTTGGTTGAAGGAATGCTGTTCATTAACGTAATATATTATTTAGTTGGACCACAGTTAGGCTAGTTGATTGGTTGAAGGAATGCTATTCATTAACATAATACATTATTATTTTGTTGGACCACAATTCGGCTAGTTGGATGGTTGAAGGAATGGTATTCATTAACGTAATATATTAGTTTGACGAGGCTAGTTGATGCGTTTAACAAGGTGCTAGATTATTTAGTTCAACCACAATTAGACAAGCTCATTTGTTGAAGGAATGACATTCATTAATTTCGACTACAATTTGGCCCGCGCCTGGCCTTGGGGGCTTTGTTCAACTTCCCTCGCCTGGCCTTGGGCGCCTTGTTCAACTTGCCTCACCTATCCTTGAGGTGCCTTGCACCTCAGGCACGCTTGGAGCGCGCCTTTGACAACTATGATCAAGAGTTACGAAAGTGAACATGCCACACACAAAGAACGCAAAGATTTACATGGTTCAGCGTAAGCCTAGACCCATGGGGAAAATTCGGAAAATATTTCACTATGCAAAATATAGGAAATTACAAGTTTCAGTTCCCAAACCCTAGAATGCCTTCTCTCTATTTATGCGGTTTTTAGTGTTCTCTCATCACACGCCCCAAACCCTACATGGCCTTATATATATATAGTGTTACAAGAGAATTTTAGAACTGGGTCCACAACCCGCAAGAGAAAAACAAGTAAATTTTTTTTGAACTAAAACAAAATTCGGGCCACATCATTTTTCTAGGTTGATGTCTAAGGAAGAAATTCAGCTCATTGATCATGCCCATCCGAAAAGAATTTCTCATGTAAAAATATAAGCAACTGAACTAAATGTGGAAAATATACCATTTTTTGCCACCATCAGATCACACTTAGAGAACATTGTATAATGGAAGGAGAAGGGAACAATTGGATGTGAAACATTAGCACCTTGGCCTTAAAAATGATTGCGCACTATTCCATATGGCATATACATATCTGATTAAAAATCCAACCTAATTGCTTCATACTCCCCAAATTTGTTTCACACAATGTAGCATGTTGAACAAATATAATCAATCCTGTCGTCTTAGCATCTGACTTCTTGTTTTTTCCTGACTTACAGAACATCTATTTCTCAACACACGAAGGTTTTGAGTTTGGAAATGCCACCTGATGAAATACCCAATGGAGGTGCATGACAAATGGAACCCCACATGGCAGGATTTTTATTTGAACTGGCTGGAAATCAAGGCCTTATGTTAAATTATCATAGTTAAGGTAGAACTATGTTATATGATTCAAGTGTGTGTGTTAAATTATGGTACTGGATAGCCTTAAAACATTTAATGTTTATCTTTCATGACTTCGATAGTTATGTCTGGAGTACGGTATTTATTTTTGTTATTTTCTCAAGTTACTCCATTTTAGTTGTACAAGTTTCTCTCTGGAGCTGTGGTTGATTGTCGCTTGCAGTGATTAGATGATTTTTCTATAGGAGATCAAAGATTGTACACGAGTGTCTTTGTCAGTGTGCAATTTGCTGAATTTGCTTGTGTAAGAATGCAATTGCTCTTTAATTCATAACGTTAGATGGTAAGTACACTCTTAATTATTCAATTTTTTTCTCCCTTCCGAATGTATGTAGTGAGTTGAAGCAGCCACACCTGTATCTCTCTAGTTGACTATCTACATCCTTTGTATCTTTCTATATTGCAATGGTTTCTTTGGGTATGGAATTTAGCTCAAGAGCCAGACTTGTCTGTCACTGCTGTGTCTATCAAGATGCATTTGGGCAGCTTAATTAATTTTTGGCAGTTCCATGGATTGGAAAGAAACCAGCATGGAGTATGAAAAAAAAAAAAAAAACACTGAGCCATTATTCAAAAATAGAATCTGGTAGCAGCCAAACCAGTATCCAGAGTTGGCATATGACTGACAGGAGTTACTTAGTGAATAGAAATAGAAGATTGAAGCTTATCTTTTTCCAACTTTATGGTCTGGTAATTTGTTTACATTTGGTACCTAAGAATATCATCACAAATTCATCTCTTTGACCAAGGATAATTTGGAACTTTAAGAGCTTGTGCTTCAATTTAGATAATTAATAGGACAGCAGGTACAATCATATTTGGAAAGCAATGGACTGATCTTCTATTGCATGCACAGGAAGTTCGCATGGCATTACACCAACTAGGGTAAATTTGCCAGTTTCCGACACCTCCTAGAAGGATCGTCTGAAATATTTTCCAGCTGGTCTGTATCACACATGGTAGCAGATCATTGTTTTTCTTTTCAAATTTTATTTTGTTCCCATAAGAACATTCAATTAACTACTTCGGGAGGGGTAGAGGATATTGTTGGGCTACAAGCCTACAATCCTTGCATACAAGTATATTCACTTAATTTTTTCTCCTCAATATGGAGTTATTCTATTTAATATATACACCATTGCATTGTCATATACAGTCAAGGAATAGGAGGATCTTGAGCGAAGAAGTCTCCCTTGCTATTTACACTTGGTATAACACTATAACCTGCATAACAAAAACCAAATATTAACAGTCATACCTTAAATTAAAATTTTAAACTAAGAATATGGTAAATGAACCTAAGCTAAGAAGAAGAAAAAAATAAAATAAATTGAAATTAAACTAAGAAAATTAAAAGGTGAAACTAAGAATATTGTAAATGAAACTAAACTAAGAATATGTTTATAACAGATAGTAAGAACCCTTCTCTATGGATACAGTGAGTGCAGACCTATATTTTGAAAGGAAGGAGCATTGCTTATAAAATAAATAAAAAAAGGAAATAGAAAATTCAAAATCAAGATCAAGAGCGAATATGGTCTTGGTGTTTGAGAAAGATCATAGATTGAGAGACACTGCTAGGAACCACATTAAACATATTGTAGTGGATGGAAGAAATACTTATTTATGGTTTAATACATGCTCTCGATGCTATTGGGAGACCTGTTTCAGATCAGAACAAGGTCTTCTGGCTTTTAAGTGTGCTCGGCCCCAAGTACGAGTCCTTCTCTACTACTATGTTAAAGCCCCCCGTTCCTTCCTATGCTGACTTGATCCCATTCCTAGTCATGAGCTAAGAAGTAAGGGGCATAATGATGAAGCGGCAGATCACACCATGGCCTTTATTTCTTAGAAAACTGGAAATCATAACACAAAGTACTCACCAACGAGAAATTGATGACAAGAGCAAATTCACAAGACAAGACAAAAATACTAGGCAAGGACGTTCAAAAAATTCTACTATCGTGTCAATAGGCCTAAGCAAATCCTAAACTATATAGGAAATTAAATCAATGGAAACTTTCCTAAAACAAACACAAAGCTAATAGGGAAATTAAAACAATGAAAACTTTCCTAAAATAGACACTAAACTATTAGGACATTAAAACAACGAAAACTTTCCTAAAACAGAAAATAGAAACTAGAAAATGCTATTCCCGAGAACTGTCCATGATTCATGTACTACATCAGGCTCCCCTTTCTTTAAAAGAGCTCGCCCTCGAATTCAACACTGGTAGAGGTGCCGGCACATGATATGCAGTTAGTCTTTCACGTTAAAAGTGCTAGATAGGCTTTATCATTGATGCGCTTCAAAATAGCACATGATCCAACGGCATCACAAGCCACTCGTACAGGCCATCCTTCGTTTTGAAGGCCATCTTCCACTCATCTCCCAGTCGAACCCGAATCTGATGGTACCCACTATTTAAGTCTAGTTTGGTAAACACAGAAGAACCTGCCAAACTATCAAGCATATCATCTAATCGAGGAATTGGAAATCGACACTTGATAGTGATTTTATTAATTGTTCAACTGTCCACACACATCCTGCCAACTCCCATCTTTCTTCGGTATTAATAAGTAAGGCAGGCACCACACACAGATTCATGCTTTCCTGAATAAACCCCTTTTTAAGCAAATCATGAACCTGCTCTTGTAAAATAGCATGCTCTCTCGGGCTCATTCTGCAATGGGAAAGGTTAGGTAAGCGAGAACCCGGAACAAAATCGATATGGTGTTGAATATTCTGCAAGGGTGGAAGTTAATTCTGTAAATCTGGAGTCAGAATTGAATTAAATTCAGTAACTAAAGGCTGCAACTTAGTTGGAACATTAGTTGGAGGGACATCTTCCCTTTTTACAACAAAAGCATAAACAGTATACATCTCTGTAGCCTCAGCATCTAAATCTGAAACCACTATGAACGCCTGACCCTCTAAGCTGGGAACCTTAGGTTGCCTATCTCTGTTCATAGGTACCAAGGTCACCTTAACCCCATCTTTTACAAAAGTAAAAGTATTCTGTCGACCACTATGGATAGAATTAACATCATACTACCAAGGCCGACCCAAAAGCATATGGCACGCGATCATGTCTACTACATCACATGTTACCTTATCCTTATATGTCTTACCAATTGAAAAAGGAATTCGGCATCGTTCAATCACTTTGATCTCACCCACATCAGTAATCCAACCTAACCAATGGGCAGTGGCCCAGCGGTATCAAGCCTCTACTTTTCAAAGGAAGGTCAGGAATTCAAGTCTCAGTGGAGGCATATATGGGTGTGTGAGTACTAACTAAGAAAAAAATAAAATAAAATAATCCAACCTATTTTGTACGGGTTCAGGTGCTTTTACGTGAAGCTTCTGAACAGTCTTTTTGGACACTACATTTTCAATACTGCCCCCAACAATAATTAAATCACAAACTCGTTGATTCAAAGTACATCGAGTACGAAAGATATTATGCCGCTAAGACTCAAGCTCCTGTTTGGGGGTATACAGAATACGACACACCACCAAAGATATTCGCTCATCTGCCTCTACTACTTCCTCGCCTTGATATTCTTCTATACCTGTTTAGGCCCCATACCCAACATTCTCATCGACACCAGTTTGCTCTTCATTAGTGGCAAGGCAGCAACACGACGTTTCAGACAGTTATTGGAACTATTGAAAAGCATAAAATGGAAGCGAAGAGAAATTAAACGAGTAGAACACAGATATTACGTGGTTCAGCCACTAGGGCCTACATCCATGGTACAAAGAGCCCAAAGGGCTACATTTTTATTATTTAGATCTATTTTGTTTCAGTACAAAGAGCCTATATATAGGCATGGTAAAGATAAGAATATGGAAGGTGTACAATAGTCAAAGGAGGCACCGTGATTAGTGGAGGATTTTGCTCCATCGTTATATAGAAATATTTATATATTTCAACACTCACCCTCAAGTTGGAGAATGAATATCATGAATGCCCAACTTACTAAAGAAACGCCTTGAAATATGATGAAAAGGTATCCGGAACTAAGCCGAGAAAGAGTTGGAACAACGCCCAGAAATGGCCTGAACGGCACCCGAAAATGGCCGGAACTACGCCGGGAAAGGAATGTGAAGACATAGAGAATAAGCTCCATGATAATAATTTCAATACTCCCCCTCAAATTCTAGATGGGATTACTAGAACAACTTGGCTCTGATACCATGTTGAAAAGCATAAAATGGAAGTAAAGAGAAATTAAACGACTGAAACACACAGATATTACGTGGTTCAGCCACTAGGGCCCACATCCACGGCACAAAGAGCCCAAAGGGCTACATTTTTATTATTCAGATCTATTTTGTTTCAATACAAAGAGCCTATATATAGGCATGGTAAAAATAAGAATATGGAAGGTGTTCAATAGCCAAAGGAGGCACTATGATTGGTGGAGGATTTTGCTCCACCGTTATATAGAAATATTTATATATTTCAACAGGAACGATGCCTAGGCTCGAGGCACCGAAAACACTTTCCTGAAAGTGGTGGAGCATATGAATTTGTAGCGGTGTCCTCTGATTATTACTACTCGTAGTTTGCCGAGGCTGATTACTAGTGCCACCCATTTCCCAAGTCGTGACTGAGTGTTGATTGATGGTCGGAGATGGTAGTGGTTTATTGGAATCAGTTTGCCGTGTACAAGTAGGGTGCCCAAAATTCTGGGTTTCCACTCGAGTGGCCAACTCAACTGCAGCATCAAAAGTGAAAGGCGCTTGCAACGTCACTCTATCTTGAATAGCTAGCCGCAAACCATTATTGAACCGTGCAACTTGTTGTGCTTCAGTCTCTAACAAATCGTTGCGAGATGATAAGCGATAAAATTCTTCAGCATAATCACGAACTGAACGATTTCCCTAGCGACAATTTTGGTATTGTTGAAATAAAATCTAATCATAATTAGCCGGTAAAAATCGATTCTTCATTAATTGTTTCATCCGAGACCATAATTTAATCAGATTTTTCAACTGTCAGGTTCGAGAACATTGTAACTGATCCCACCATGCAGAAGCACCAATCTTAAGACGATAGGAGACCAGTTTTACCTTCTTTTCCTCTGCGATACCCACATATAATAAAAAAATTGTCAACTTCCAAAAGCCAGTCCAGAAACCCTTCGATATCAAGTTCACCATTAAAAGACGAAAGGTCAATTTTCATCCGAAAATCTCGCTGATTTGTTTTGACCCCGTGATCTCCATGCGCTAAAACGATACCTTCAATCTTGTCATCACTTGAATCAGACCAAACCTCTTGCTGAAACTGGCGCTGATTATTAGCACGTTGAAGATGACCACGTTGATTTCCAACCCTTGGTTGTGGCTGATTCACACCATTAGGTTGGTCCTGATCATGCCTATTACTAACTTGGACACAATTCATGGCTTTAGTTAGACGTTCAATTGCCGTCTGAATCTCTTGTTTGAGTTCCTGACGCAATTGTTGGAATTCTTGAATAGTCACCGCACGTTCTCCCAGATCACCGTCCATGGAGAATGGCTTTAATACCAACTTGATGCAGCAAGCAAAATAATTAAGACTAGCAACGTATTCTTTAAATACTCAAATCCACGAGAAGAATTTGAGAAAAGCTTTATTAATAAAAGAGTTTTTTTGTTCCTAAACTACTACCATAGATTGTATTTATAGGCCTAAGCAAATCCTAAACTATATAGGAAATTAAATCAATGAAAACTTTCCTAAAACAAACACAAAGCTAATAGGGAAATTAAAACAATGAAAACTTTCCCAAAACATACACTAAACTATTAGGAAATTAAAACAACAAAAACTTAGAAAATAGAAACTAGAAAACACTATTCCCGAGCACTGTTCATGTCTGCCCATTCATGTACTACATCAGAATTCTATACCTTTAAGGGACATTTTATTGGTCCCTAATACTGCGAAAAATCTGTTATCTGTTTCTCAGTTGACTTCTGATTATCCTTGCACTTTTGAGTTTAACGCTAATGGGTTTGTTATTAAGGACATGACAATGGGAAAGATACTAGCACCCGGAACTAAGAAGGTATGCACTAAATAAATCTCAGAATAAAGCAACTGCTCTTTTCTTAAATCATTTTCAAGCTGCGGATGAAGATGTTTGGCACAACAGATTTGGTCATCCACAAGATCGAGTTTTGAAGTATTTGAAGTCTAGTAATCAGATTTTGATAACTGAGA